CTACTACAGACTGTATAGAGGTAACGTAAGGAGCATGCATGCGGTGGCTACGCTAGCTACACTGGCTACGCGGCTACAGAGGGTCTGGAGGTACACTCCTCTCCATAAGTTTGGCAACCTTTTCCCCCCATTGAACTACGTGTTAAAGCCTCTTTACCTTTGAATTTTTATTTACTTAACCTGCGATAAAAATACTTATACTATTGATGGAAACGTAATTTGACTTTAATTCCAATACCTCCAAATTTTCTCAATTTTTTTCCTCAATTACAATAGATCGAAAATTGATGATGAATTTGATGAATTTTTGAAAATCGACATTCCCAGGTTAACCAATGGGAAATGGTAGGTTTGCCGCAAGTCATATGACAGAATATCCATCCATCCAAGTCTTTGCAAAAAATACGAGTTGGGCAGGTAATTGAATTTGCTAACTTCATTTAACAAAAAATTGATATGTTTCTTCAGGTTCAACAAAGTTATAGGGCTTTAAAGTCAAAATTGTTTCTCTCCCATTGAAATAACACAGGAGGCGAAAAATTCTTTTCAAAAATGACTTTGAAGCGCTGTAAGTTTAATATTCATCAAATAAACTAAACATTTAGTGTTCAAAAAGTTAGAAAATTCAATTTTCTATATAAAAATATTTTTTGCTGAATCTTTTACTGAAAAGATATCCTGATTTCTGATTTCCCCCGAACCCTCCATTTCCCATTGGATTACATGGGAATGACGATTTTCAAAAATTCATCTTTATCATCAATGTTCGACCTTTTGTAATTGAGGAAAAAAATTGAGAAAATTTGGAAATAAAGTCAAGTTACGTTTCCATCAATATTTTAAGTTATTTCATCGCCGGTGAAGTAAATAAAAATTCAAACGTAAAGAGGCTTTAACACGTAGTTCAATAGAGAAAAAAGGTTGCCAAACTTATGGAGGGGAGTGTACACTGGCTACGGGGACTACAGAGGGTATAAAAGTAACCTTATGAGCATGCATGCGGTGGCTACGTTAGCTACACTGTCTACGCGGCTACACAGGGTCTGGAAGTAAGCCTAGGAGCATGCATTCAGTGGCTACGCTAGCTACACTGGTTACAAAGCTACACAGAGTCTTGATGTAAGCCTAGGAGCATGCATTCAGTGGCTACGCTAGCTACACTGGCTACGCGACTACAGGGGTATAGAGGTAACCTAAGGAGAATGCATGCGGTGGTTTTGCTAGCCACACTGGCTAAGCGGCTACACAGGGTCTGGATGTAAGCCTAGGAGCATGCATTCAGTGGCTCCGCTAACTACACAGGGCGCTACTACAGAGTGTATAGAGGTAACGTAAGGAGCATGCATGCGGTGTCTACGCTCGCTACACTGTGTACGCCGCTACACAGGGTCTGGAAGTATGCCTAGGATCATGCATTTAATGGCTACGCTAGCTACACTGGCTACGCCACTACAGAGTGCATAGAGGTAACCTAAGGAGTATGCATGCAGTGGCTACGCTGCTACACACGGTCTGGATATATGCCTAGGAGCATGCATTCGGTGGCTACGCTAGCGACATTGGTAAGGCTATTACAGAGTGTCTAGAGGTAACCTAAGGAGCATGCATGCGGTGGCTACGCTAGGTACGGTACACTCGCTACGCGGCTACAGAGTGTCTTGAGGAAACCTAAGGAGTATGCATGCAGTGGCTACTCTAGCGGGTACATAGGTTCTGGAGGCAAGCATAGGAGCAGGCATTCGGAGGCTCTGCTAGCTAAACTGGCTACGCGGCTACAGAGGGTCTGGAGGCGGCTACACAGGGTCTTGAAGTAAGCCTAGGAGCAGGCATTCGATGGCTAAACTGGCTACACAACTACTGGGGTATAGAGGTTACCTAAGGAGCATGCATGCGATGGCTACGCTAGATACACTCGCCACACGGCTACAGAGGCTCTGGGGGTGAGCTTAGGAGCAGGAATTCGGTGGCTACTCTAGCTACACTTGCTTCGCTGCAACACAGGGTCTGGATGTAAGCCTAGGAGCATGCATTCAGTGGCTACGCTAGCTACATTGGCTACGCGACTACAGACGGTATAGAAGTAATTGTCCATGGTATGACTTCCGAATATGAAGGATCCGTAGCACACTATAGCGCAGCAACATTTGAAGCAATATTTATGAAGATGTACATGTCTTGATTCTTTTAAAATACCATTTGCTGAAAAAACTTCCGGCTTTCGGGTCGAAAAACGTCTTTCATCACAAGGGTTCAAAAAACGTATATATTTTGATTCGAACTTTTATACATTTTATAAGACACAGACCGTTATTCTAAGCATACGGACAAAAATGAATTATCATAATTTAAAAATATACTTTTTAATTTTACCGTAGATGTCGGTGTTTAATTAGTGTAATTATACAAGTGTGTTTTTCAGATTTTGTTCAGATTTTGTTTTGATTTTTCAAATATGAGCCAAGCCGATACAACAAAATTATGTGGAATATTTAGGTAATTTATGATTGGGGACATATTAGTTTTCTTACCATTATTACCAGAATTGTTCCATATAATCGCAAGGGGTCTAATAGCAAATTATTGTTCATGTTTTACAAAACATAATACAATAACAAATAGGTAAGATTTATATCTAATTAAATGTTACAGAGGTATTGGAATGTTCATATATTCCAAGGGCATGTCTAATGATCAATTAGAGTCATATGCAATTGAACGCCTTGAAATTCTTCCTCGACGTTACTTGTGGCTATCATCAAGTTTTCTGATGGCTGTTTGTTTTTTGACCTTACCGCTGGATACAATCAGATTTTAGGAAGATAATTATAACGATTTTTCTCAATTATTCATGAATTCGATCAAGTCTTGATGGTTGTTTTATAAGCAACTGAGCTATATCTAACTACGGGAAATAGAATATTAGCTGTAGTCCCAATTAGTCAAGGAAGAGCACTTTATTGATAATTTTCACCGCTGAATATCTCAAAACGTCTTGAGACCCCTTTTGTGAAAAACAAGCATAATTTAAACATTTGTCATTCCAATATAAAAGTGATTCATTTGTAGCATTTATCTTATTAATACCTGAGAAACAATACAAAACGTCGATACACTGATAACATATTTTTGGGTATTGATAAGAAAAATAACCTCTAACTTATAGCTTAGAAACCTAAATCATATATTTAAAATCATTTTGTATTATTTTCTGTTGCATTGTGTACTCCAAATTGTGAAAAATTGGGATTTTAATTTTTGGTGATTTTTTGACCTTTGTTAATGGCAGGCATAATTCAGCCTAAAAGCCGGAGGTATATTGAACAGTTATAATAAAAATTATTAGGGGACATGTGTAGGTATGTTAATGTAAGGTCAAATATCGCTGCGCTATAGTGTGCTACCTACGGAAAGCGATAGGGGACATGCGCATAATTCAAAATCGAATGGAGTTTTAACATGGGCGTGATATCACACAATTTTGGATAATATTGATGGCTCTAACGAGGAGAACTTTGAGATTTCCCGATTCTAGCGCGCAGCACATCCAGGACATGCGCACTTTTATCAGATTCGATTCTAATATGGTTTCAAAGATAATGTTCATTAAAAGAGGGCGTATGCATACAGATTACACGTGGCGTTATGTTGAAGTGACCCTTGCAAAGGGTTCCATTGAAAATATATTATTTTGGGCCATTTCATATCTTTTAATTGATATTGTTTAAAATATTTTCAATGTTTGAAAATTATAATCTTATAAATAACATTTTATGTAATGAAACTGTAACGTACGGAAAGCTATAGGGGACATGCGCATAATTCAAAATCGAATGGAGTTTTAACATGGGAGTGATATCACACACCGCGGCCCAGTCAGATAGATTTCATCGCGCACTGAATGAATTACAGGGGCCGCGTTGTGCAAAGTTAATTAAAATAAAGTGCGCAGAAATTCCGGCATTCAGTGCGCGATGAAAAAATGATTATCTGTGAATAAAAAACGAATAAAAATTCGTGGCACCACGAATTTGATTTTTTTCGAAAGACTGCGGAGTGAACCAGCGAAATGACAATTTTGGATAATATTGATGGCTCTAACGAGGAGAACTTTGAGATTTCCCGATTCTAGCGCGCAGCACATCCAGGACATGCGCACTTTTATCAGATTCGATTCTAATATGGTTTCAAAGATAATGTTCATTAAAAGAGGGCGTATGCGTACAGATTACATGTGGCGTTATGTTGAAGTGACCCTTGCAAAGGGTTCCATTGAAAATATATTATTTTGGGCCATTTCATATCTTTTAATTGATATTGTATAAAATATTTTCAATGTTTGAAAATTATAATCTTATAAATAACATTTTATGTAATAAAACTGTAACGAAATGGTAAATACGGAATATGATGCAATACAATGCAGTGCAATATGATGTTATACAATGCAGTGCAATATGATGCAATACAATGTGGTGCAATATGATGTAATACAATGCGGTGCAATATGATGCAATACAATGCAGAGCAATATGATGCAATACAACGTAGTGTAATATGATGCAATACAAAGCAGTGTTATATGATGCAAAAAATGAATAATAAGGCTGATACATTAGACATGAAATGTCTGGTGCCTGCCTTTCATTTCACTGCATTTGCTCTATAGTGCGTACGACTAGAGTAGTAGCAATATTTCCAAAAAACATAGTAGCTAGTGAATATCAACAAAAATCAGTACTTTAATTTTGTATAGTAATTTTGTATACACATTTACAATAATGGCCTTTTAGTAATATATTAGTTAAAATATTTGTTATGAAATCTTTCGGACTAGTAAATGGGGGGAGGGGCACTCCAGGAATGTTGCGTTTGGCAGTATGGCACTTCTGGTAATTGTATGATGGATACATTTGCCCAAAAAAGGAGTCGCTCACTTTTATTATTATTATAAGTGTTATATTGCCATGTGTGTACGGGTTTGGGTTGTTTTGTTTCAGAACATGGGCAAAAAAGAAAAAGGGGAAAGGCTAGTCCGAAAAAAGCGTTTGGGAAGGGTGGTAAAGAAAAAGAAAGTCAAGAAAGTCAAGAAGGCTAAGTCCGTTCACTCGGACGACACCCTCCCCTACCCAAGACCGTCTCATAACAATGAAAATGATTCCACCTGGCCAAATAATCTATCTGACACTTCCACCTCGGATGAGAGCACCATTGCCCAAAATGAAAACATCACGGTTACACCACCCTGGCATCCTAGTGCTAACTTCACAATGCCCAATCCCGGAACAAGTGGTCCGCAGCAGGGGACACCTGTTGGGGCCCAAGCTATGGGTGGGGCCCAAGCTAGTGGTTGGGCACCTAATGGGAATCAGATGCCGCCGCAGGCACAGGGTTTTATATCACCATATCCAGCCTACATACCTCAGCAACATCCAGGACCACCACATCCTCATAATAGCACAGCAATGCAAAAGGGAGGTCCACATCATCAGGGGCCGTATAGCTGGCCTGGCCAAATGCACCCGCCCACACAAGCTCCATACTGGTGGGAAATGGGGAATCAAATCTTACCCCGCCCGCAGCTGTTCAACCAGAACATGGACCCAACTGCAAGATTTCATCCATACATGTCCCAAGGACATTTCACGGGGGGGCCTATTGGACTTCATCAGGGTCCACCAACACATTATGTACAGGGTCTGTATCAGCCATCAGGGCAATATCCATGGGGTCAGCCCTCATCTTTCACAAAGGGTAATATCATTCCTGAAATGCCAATGGTTGACACGTCGTCGTCAATGTTGGACACTATATCAACCAACATAAAGAATAAAATTTGGAACAATGAGTTCATTGAACTCGCGAAATTACTTGAAGATGACGACAGTGACGAGGACGTGTCTTCCAATGTGACAGAAGTATTGGTAAAAAATGGAAGGCAAATATACTTGCCAAACAAGAAAGTAAAGAAATATCTAGTCTATCCTGAATGGCAGAGGGCCTTTTTGATATTCATCAAAATATACACCCAAAAACACCCCTGGGAGGCCGGAGATCTGGCGTCATATATGGCTCTTATACACAAATTGAAACAAAAAATCCGTAACTGGGGGCGGTATGGCCGTCTCTTTAGAAAGGCTAAGGCTAACAGGCCATGCTCTTGGGCAGCTCTTGACCAAGTGCTGTATTACGATTGTTTGAACTTGCCTACTGGAGGTCACCAGACGGGATGAAAAAGTTAAAAAGTCCTGGGGGGCGGGCAAAAAACAGGAGGGTAATGCCCCAGTGGGAAAAGTAAAGGGTAAGCAAATACCATACATTCCACCGGGGCATTGTTGGAAATTCCATAAGGGCCAAGAATGCGATGGCAAAGATGATTGTAAAGGCAGCCATCATTGCCCTTATCACAAAACTTCAACACACCCTGCAATAACTTGTCAAGAGGCCCTCAAAAAGCCATTTCGGCCCAGAAAGAAGGGGGACTCAAACTAAAGTAAAAAAGAGTAGCCATGAACATGTTACTATAAAGCACTCATTTTCAAGCAACCTGGAAACAATTGTTTGCAAGAAAAAATCCAATCCCCCAGCCGCACGATCTGGAGGTGGGGTTAGGCCGGAGACACCACCTTCCCTCTTCTCCAGACAGTGAAGCGGGGGATTGTGACAAAGTTTTGGATAAAAAGTATAAACATAATAATACAAAATCTGTAGTTTTGAAACAAACCATTTTATGTGACCCGTGTACAACGGTTTCTGAACCAAGCTTATTTAGTCCTGAGCCGCACGGTTTGGTGAGGGAGTTAGGCCGGGGACACCACCTATCTTCTTCTTCAAACCAGGTGTTGAAGGAAAGTCATTTACTTAGCATGCCTAAAAGCACAGATTTAGAAACGATAGTCACCCCAGTAAAAATCGAACAACTAAAACCGTATTTAAAGGGATACAATATGGAATTAGCGGAAGATATCATTCAGGGTTTTACTTTAGGGTTCAGGATTCCATTTGAGGGTAATGTGCCCGAAATTGAACCCAAAAATTTAAAATCTGCTAAATTACAATCATTTGAATTGGAACAAAAAATCCATCAGGATATCAAAGCGGGCAAAGTAGCGGGTCCCTTCTTACAAAAACCAAATGATTTATTTATATCTCCAATCGGTTTGGTTCCCAAAAAAGTCCCCGGAAAATTCAGAAAAATCCAGCATCTATCTGCTCCAAAAGGCCATTCAATAAACGAAGGCATTGAAAAACATCTATCTACAGTCCAATACCACACGGTTCATGATGCGGTGGAAATTATAAAGTCTTCTGAAAAACCCCTGTTTTTGGCTAAAACAGACATCAAGTCAGCATTTGATATAGTTCCAATTCACCCAAATGACCAACATCTTTTAGGCTTTAAATTCCAAGATCAGTACTACGTATCCAGGACTCTGCCAATGGGATTATCTATTTCTTGCAAATACTTCGAAAATTTCAGCACAGCAATAAACTGGGTAGCATTAAATAAGCTTGGGGTAACCAATATGCTACATATTCTCGACGATTTTTTAATCCTCGAGGATACGCTGGAAAAATGTGTGTACAGTCTGCAAAGATTCCAATCTTTCTGTAATGAAGTGGGTATACCACTGGCACCTGAAGTTTTGAAGGCGCGGAACCTAGTAAAGAAATACAAAAAACGGGAAAAGTGCACCAAACGTGAGCTTCAAAGTCTGATTGGTTTCTTGCAGTATTGTACGATCATAGTTCCATTTGGTAATACCTTCCTCAGACGTATGATCAATTTGACTATGCAAGTTAAAGAACAGCATTGGCACATTAGGCTTACGCCAGAAGTCAAAATAGACCTGTCCATCTGGGATGGCTTCATTCAAAATTTCAATGAGAGATCTTTCTTTCTTGATCAAGAATGGGAAAAACCATACTTTAACCACTGATGCATCTCAAGGGGTTGGCTTCGGGGGAGTTTTTGGAAATGAGTGGATTTATGGGGAATGGCCTGACAGCTGGAAAGCGGAAAACATAGCCCTATTGGAGCTATACCCAATAATGGTGGCGATGTTCACTTGGGAAAAGGCATTTTCCCATAAATCCATTACAATTAGATCTGATAATGAGGCAGTGTGCGCCATAATTAACAAAGGGGTATCTCGGGACAGAAAACTAATGACTTTATTGAGAGAGCTAATGTTACAATGTCTGCAACACAACATTTTACTCAAGGCAATTCACTTGCCTGGTGTTGAGAACGATGTAGCTGATGCTATTTCGCGTAATCTGTTCCAGAAGTTCAGAAAGCTACACCCCACAGCAAAGAAACTACCTCAGGAAATACCAAAACATCTTCTACCTCAGAACTTAAACATATTTTTAATTTCCTAATTGAAAGCGCTCAGTCGCAAGGGACACGGGACCTTTATGAAAGAACGTGGAAAAAATTAATTACTTTCGGAAAACAGTTCCATATACCAATTTTTCCTCTTAGCCAAGAGCACATGAAACTATTCATCAGCAAGCTACATATAGAAGGCTATGCAGCTTCGTCCATACGCACATTTTGCTCAGCCATTGGGTATTACCACAAAATGAACAATAAACCAGACCCATCAACCCATTTTTCGATAAAACAAGGTTTGAAGGGTCTTCAAAAAATGAAAGGAAAAGTTGATAAACGAACGCCTATCACTCCATCCATGCTTAGCTCAATATTGAAAAAATTAGTTGTTGTAAAACAGATCATGGAAAATAACTCCCTCACGCTACTGTTTAAAGCTGTGTTTTCAGTAGCTTTCTTTGGCATGCTTAGAATAAGTGAAATTTGTGGCCCCGGGCCACACTGTTTAAAGATCAATAGTTTCAAGAAATTGTCAAATGAATCATTGGTCCTCCATTTTGACTCCTTCAAACATAGCCAGCAAGCATGTAACGTACTAATTGAAAAACAGAAAAACAAGGACATATGCCCAGTGCGTCTTATGAGAGAATATATCAAAATCAGAGGATGGAGTGACGGGGCGTTATTCGTATTTAAAGGGGACCCGATTCATCAGGGCATGCTCCGAAAAATCCTGAAAGAAGCTGTGCAACTCGCGGGACATGATCCCAGTGATTGAACAACACATTCATTTAGGATTGGTGGTGCCACCTTTTATGCAAAATCAGGATTTTCGGACTTGCAACTGATGAAGATGGGAAGATGGAATTCCACGGCATTTTTAAAGTACCTCCGTTAAGTTTATAACAATCCAATTTTCTGATACTTACATGTAATACACTCCCCTCCATAAGTTTGGCAACCTTTTTTCCCCATTGAACTACGTGTTAAAGCCTCCTTACCTTTGACTTTTTATTTACTTAACCGGCGATGAAATAACTTATAATATTGATGGAAACGTAACTTGACCTTATTTCCAATACCTCCAAATTTTCTCAATTTTTTTCCTCAATTACAATAGGTCAAAAATTGATGATAAATTTGATGAACTTTTGAAAATCGTCATTCCCATGTAATCCAATGGGAAATGGAGGGTTCGGGGAAAATCAGAAATCAGAAAATCTTTTCAGTAAAATATTCAGCAAAAAATATTTTTATATAGAAAATTGAATTGTCTAACTTTTTAAAACATTAAGTGTTTAGTTTATTTGATGAATATAAAAGTTACAGCGCTTCAAAGTCATTTTTGAAAATAATTTTTCGCCCCCTGTGTTATTTCAATGGGAGAGTTTTTTTGAAAAACAACTTTGACTTAAAAGCCCTATAACTTTGTTGAACATGAAGAAACATATCAATCTTTTGTTAAATAAAGTTAGCAAATTCAATTGCCTGCCTAACTCGTATTTTTTGCAAGGACTCGGATGGATGGATATTCTGTCACATGACTTGCGGCAAACCTACCATTTCCCATTGGTTAACATGGGAATGTCGATTTTCAAAAATTCATCAAATTCATCATCAATTCTCGACCTATTGTAATTGAGGAAAAAAATTGAGAAAATTTGGAGGTATTGGAATTAAAGTCAAATTACGTTTCCATCAATAGTATAAGTATTTTCATCGCAGGTTAAGTAAATAAAAATTCAAAGGTAAGAGGCTTTAACACGTAGTTCAATGAGGAAAAAAGGTTGCCAAACTTATGGAGGGGAGTGTACATGTAGTGACAAAGAGTAGGGATTGGCCGGAGACACCACCTTCCTTGGAGGGCAACCAATTCCCTGCCGGGTTTTTTGTTAATGTTAATTGCTTCAATTGTTATTAGTTATTCAAATACTGAAATAAATACTTCAGCATTAACTGCCAACCGCTGCTTTAGACGTTGCTTAATTTCCTAATATACATATTGTGGCGGCACTTTAAACCATAATCAGCTTATGTCATGTTTTAAAGTTGTGGCGTAAATTGCCTTCCACAAAATAGTATTGGCGTTTCACTATATAGATGGATTTGGGCTCTCTTATAGAATAGGCATTTTTTTTATTTTATTTTTTTATTTATTTATTAATCATCCTCATTCATTACATAACATTTACAAAATCTTCAATCGCCAAATACATGCATGGCATTATAGAAGAATTGATGGAACTTAATGAAATATAATATAAGGAGCAATGTTAACAGTAGTTTTGGGGTTGTGTGTGTGGGGGGGTGCTTGGCGGGGGAAACAGTTACTGGAGATAAAAGATGTTTAAGGAGGGAAAATCATATATTGGCTTTTATAAAGGAAGCTAGCCTGGTCATCATTTTCGAATTAAGTTCGATAGTGATTTCAGTTGAGCCATATTTCAGAACTTCAAGATATTTATGCTGAGAGATTTGCCTGTCAAAAATTTCAGGGATCAGGTTTTTCAGGTATTGATTAAATTCATCCCTGGCATGTGTCAAATGAGCACAGTGGAAAAAGAAGTGTTTAACTGTTTGTGGATGTCCACATGAACAGTTAGGGTTGTCAATATTGCTAAAGTTATGAGCATATAGTTGGGCCTTAAATAAAAAGTCGGCCCTGAATTTATTTACTATTATCTCATGGCTCCTTGTGAGGTTCAGTTTGCTGGTTGTGATGACATTTATTGGATTTTTGAAAAGCAGTTTTTGATGTTTCTTGAAATTCTGGATAGTAGCTTTACTCTTTAATGTATTTGGCAGGGCTAACCAGTTGGAGATTGCAGAGGGTACCGCTGAATTTCTGTACCGTTCAGAGCATTTTGGAATAATGAACTCATCAGTGTTACGCAAGTTTCGAGTTTCTGTTTTTTTGAACTTATCAAATATGTCATCAAGAAATTTAGGGTTAGGACCATGTACTATTTTGTACATAAAGTTGTTTATAAACATTTTTCTTCTAGTGTCAAGAGATGGCCATTGAAGTAGCGTTAGTACTTTATCTGTGCTGCTCCCGTGAATACAACCTGAGCAGTAGATAGCAGCTTTATAATATAATCTGTCGAGCCTTTGAAGTAGATATTTGGAAGAACTATTGTAAATGATGGTACCATAATCAAAATGGGGCAATATGAAGGAGTTGAAGATTGT